CTGTACATGCATGCTCACAACCACACAAAAACAGGTGTTTACATCCTGGGTTTTCTATTCGGGCACTGACTGAATGGTATGTGCAAATGTGTATGTAAAGATATATGTATATGTGTATGTGTATATACTGTATATATATGAAAGTGTTTGGATATGTAGGTATGGGTATGTTTATGTGTATATGTTTAAATTTATATATGTATATGGGTATGGTTTTCAGCAAGGCTATAGTCATTATAATTATATAGATATGCATTTTTGTTGCTGTGGTTTTGTTATCTTTGTTTTTTGTTGGTGTGGAGCCAAGAAGTCGGGTGTGCTGTCTTGTGTTTTCTCAACATATATTTCACATATCTTCTAATCTCTCTTTCACTCTTTCTCTTTACATTTCACTTTTTTCTTTCTCTTTCTTTTTCTCCTATTAAAAAAAAGATTATAGAGTTCAGTTACTTTTATAACCCACTATTAGGCTGGTGTGTAGTAACCCTTGGGGAGAACAGAAGATTGCATGATTGTATAGYAGGAGGACACTCAGACCCCCTTTGAAGGGGACTCTTTAAAAACCTGACTGTTGTACAGAAATTGAGTTCATGTTCATGACAGTGTATGTATTGTATCATGTCTGTATAAGAATTCCTTGCGGCAAGTAAAAAGAGAGCTCAACCAAATCCACTTTTTCTTCGTTAACATTTGATTCTTGATAATTCATTTATCTAACATTTATGAAGCAACAGTTTCCCAGTTCTGAGTGGTGCTCTTGGATTATCCAATCAAACGACATGAAAATCCTCTCCCTGGGCTGCCATCTTATCGTGGTGGAGAATTTTGAGTGTCCTGATGATCCTAGGAGCCATGTTGCCAGGGACTTCATGCCCCCCAAAGACCCCTATGATGAGTGCAACATATGGACGTGGAGTTCCCTCGCCTGGACGCGGGTCACCGGGGCCCCCCTCTGGAGCCAGGCCTGGAGGTGGGGCACGTTGGCGAGCACCTGGTGACCGGGCTTTCACCCATGGAGCCTGGTCGGGCACAGCCTGAAGAGGAGACGTGACCCTCAACAACGGCCCTTCCCATGGGTTCACCACCTGTGTGAGGGGCTGTAGGGTTCAGGAGTAATGTGTGATGGGCAATGGCCGAGGGCGAGGACTGTGGTGGTCTGATCCTATAATTATTTAGCTAATAAAGACTATTTGACTAAGTAAATGAACAAAATATAGTTACTGAAGCACTAAGATCACTTAATTGTTAAACAGTCTAACTACTGATTGTATTAGAAATTAGCAGCACAAGGTAAACTACAACAGAACTTGTTTTTAATCAGATCAGGATGACCAGATCCTGAAAACCTGAATTTGGGACAAAAAAAGATGTTTGTGAGGGACAATGTGCGACACATCGCCAATGTGCCATAACATTTATTTTATTATAGATCTCACATTAAATTAATTATGGTAGTTAGTTCACAACAATGTTTTTTAAAGATTTTTAAGAAAAAATGTAAGTGTATTTTTAATTCAATATGTTTTAAAGTTTATCAGAAAAAAACTTTGATTAAAATCATATTTAACATTTTGTAATTTTATCACTGCCCAATGGAAAAAAAAACCATGTCACCCATTTACCAGTCTTTGTGCCTTTTCGTTTATTCAACATAGTTTCCATCACATGCATGAGTCAAATTAATTTTTTGTGGTGTTTTTATATTTATTTTTTGAACATAGTGGCGGCAGTGCGCGTCCTGCAGACCTTGCTGGTGTGCATTGTAATTGACAGCTGAGCTGCAGATCTGTGCCTCTCTTCTCTCCTCCTCCTTCCAGAAGAGTCAGGAGACAGAAATAATGAGGCATTATTTAATGGGTGCATATTACAACTACTGAGTAACGTTTGTGAAGCTTTTTTTTTCGGTGCCTACCTTTCATGTTTTGCCGCATGTTGTTCTCCGTTCTCCTCTCTGTGTGTGATTGATTGATTGACAGCCGCAGCCCATGAGGGGGGTGCATCGGCCCTAGGCTGTTGTAATTTGTTCAGCCCAGAATCAATCATTCATGACTAATGGGCCGATCTACCAACTGTGTGTACCGATATGAATCATAACTAGAAAGAAGAGAAAAAACAAAACAAAAAACGGCCCGGCCCAAAATCACCCCCCGCCCACAGGGCACGTGCTCGCTATGGCCGATGGCCAGTCCAGTGGTGCTTGGGCAAGACACTTTACCTGCCTTGCCTACTGATGGTGGTCAGAGGGTCCGGTGGCGCTGGTGCATGGCAGCCCCGCCTCTGTCAATGTTCCAGTTCAGCTGTGACAGTAGCTTACCACCATCAGTGTGTGAATGGATGAATGCCTGAAGTGTAAAGCGCCTTGTGGTCCATGTGGCCTTGATAAGGCATTCAGGCCATTCACCATTACCATTTTTTCCATATACTGATGAGACACACATCGAAAGGCACTGGGAGTGAAGTGTCTTGCCCAAGAACACAACTGAAACAGCATCGAACCGGCAACCTACCAATTCCAGGACGACCCCCCTAACCACTCTTCCACAGCTGCCCCAGAGTGAGGCAATCAAGCTGATTGTGTGAAAGTCAAGTAACTACTGTATATCCAATAAATTAAACAGAACAAATATCAGCATGGTGTTTTAGATTTGGAACCTAACAAAGAACAGTTCCATCTTCTTCTATGTGAGAAGCAGGAATTGTAACTAGTGGCCATGGTTACCTCGTAATAAAGATTGGTTCTGTTGAAAGAGCTGCTGAGTGTGATTGGCTGAGTGACACACAGGATCTTCTCACAGTCCTTCAGGACACTGCTGGTTGCTGTGGCTGTCAGGCCAAGCAACGGCACTTTGGGGAACTGCCTTTTCAGGATTCCCAGGAGTTTATAATCTAGAGAGAAAACACAAACAACTCTGACAATGTCTCCTCAGCATCTCCTCAGCTCATCTAATCAACAATATTCATCAACCACTGCTGAAAATGAAAGGACAATGTTTTCTGGCTATCTCATAAACCAGCAAATAAACAGTTATTAAACTGTCAGTAATAACTTAATGTGCCAACACCATTTCAAATGTAACCTTAGCAAATACAAAAATGGCTACAATTTAGAAAGGTTTACAGAAATTGAGCTAAAAGTTTGTGTTGAAGTAGCTGGTGGTCATCTCCAACACTTTGAACTCTGATAGACCAAAAATCGTACATCTACAAATTTTTCCACAACTTTTGAATCAACCCAATTCAATAAGGTCACCACAGCCAACTGACAACAGATGACACCAAAATATCTCTAACATACACTGCCTAGCACAAAAAAAAGTTGCCACCAAAAAAAAGGTAATATTTCTAACATTTCGTTGGACCATCTTCAGCTTTGATTATGCCACACATTCGCTGTGACATTGTTTCGATAAGCTTCTGCAATGTCACATCCAGTATTGCATTAATTTTTCACCAAGATCTTGCATTGATGGCGGTAGAGTCTGACTGCTCTGCAAGGCCTTCTCCAGCACACCCAAACTTAATCCCCAAATGGGGTTAAGGTCTGAACTCTCTGGTGGGCAGTCCATGTGTGAAAATTGTATCTCATGCTCCCTGAACCACTCTTTCACAATTTGAGCCTGATGGCATTGTCATCTTGGAATATGCCTGTGCCATCAGGGAAGAAACAATCCATTGATGGAATAACCTGGTCATTCAGTATATTCAGGTAGTCAGCTGACCTCATTCTTTAAGCACAATTGTTGGCGACTTTTTTTGGCCAGGCAGTGTAGTTCATTTTACAGATATAAATATAAAATTTAGCGTGGCAGTAGCTGAGCCTTATCCCAACATGTACTTTGAGGGCTACACATTGCGCAATCCTGGGCACTAACTGTTGGCGTCAACTTTGTCCATTGGTTTGGGTGTTCTGAACCCACCTGGTCTGAAGTCATGACCCCACTGACTGCAGCAGTGCACCTCATCCACAGCAATACGAGTCAGCAGCTTTGCATTGTAGGCTTTCTCCAGGCGAGACATCAGCATTTTGCTTTTGGCAATCTTCTCTGGCGTCACATATACCAGCTTGAAAGGATTTTTTGGATCAACCATTCCTGACATCACAGCCTTGGAGTGCTCCTAAGAATGTTACGAAAGACATCTGTGCTATCAAAGTTTTCATAAAATGTATTTTTGGTTTGTAATAAATATAATCTGGCCTTTTCTAAATAAAAATCCTGCCTTAATGAACTGTCTAAACCATCAGTACCACATGCTTTTGATGAGCTATGTTCGAAACAGACTCTATCTACATTGGATATGTATCAGTCTCAGACTACTGAGAAACAAAACAAATTATATTTGTTTAGGCAAATTCACATTGAAGAGACAGAACATCTTGAGAGTTCACACTTTTTAATGGTCTGTACCTTCCCAACAGAGCACATTGCTTCCAGACTGCAGTAAGTTTACTTAAAGTTTCTAAAGTTTCTAAAAATGAAACGGAGACTGGGCCTTCAGGCCTTAGACTTGCTTATGGTTTCTGACACCCTGTCTACTCTTATACCTGCCTCCAGTCTCTAGGTCACCAGAGAGATCAGGCTTGAACTTATGTTCAGTCGGTTAGACTTCATAATGTTCTAACAGGTTAACAGGGGAGGAGAGTGTGATGGGAAGATGGAAGGAGAAATTTGATAAGCTAATGGATGAAGAGAATGAAAGGGAAAGAAGAGTAGATGTCATAAAAACTATGGACCAGAAAGTTTGAAAGCTTAGTGACGATGAAGTTCAGAAAGCTTTGGAGAGGATGAAGAAGGAGAAGGCAGTTGGACCTGATGACACCAGAGGAGGTATGGAAATGTCTAGGAGGGATGCAAGCGTGGTTTTTAGAATTGATTAGTCAAGGACATTTTTGAGAGTCAGAAAATCCCTGAGGAACGGAGGAGAAGTGTTCTGGTGCCAATTTTAAAGGGATCCATGATTAGTTGTAACATTAGATTTTATTTGATAAACATTTATTTTAACTGTAAAATAAAGACTGTAAAAATAATGTGGGATGTTCAGTTTTTATAATTTTGTAAACTAAAAGTTTAAAAATATATTTTAACACGGACGGGACCATTTTATTTCCACGTAAAGCATTCTGGGTAAATGATGACGTGGATAGGTTCTTGGTGCGAGGCTGCTAGCGAGCTATATCCACCCTGAAGGTTAATCTTGGACAATATCTGATGATCGACTCTTTTAAATGAAACCAGAGAGCGTTGACAGAGAGGAGAAGGTAGAAATGACTCAGCCTGTAACTGAAAATATGGATGGAGGACAACAGAGCTGCTTCATGGAAGAAGAACCCCAGCTGAGCCTGTTAGCTTTAGCTTTATCCCCGACGCTATCACCATATATGAATGAATTGATTTATTCAATCAGGACAGTGTGCAATTAAAACATAAACATAAAAACATTTGATGCATTGCAACAGATTTAGCCTAAGGCTAATTTACATCTATAGTCCCTCCAGACAGTAAAAACAAAACAACATCCAACAATAACAGAAATAAGAGAAAAAAATAATAACATAAAAATAAAAATAATATAAAACAAAACATTTTGCAATTAATAATAAAAATACATAAACACCCCACCGCACTCTCCAAACATATATGTATTAGATCAGCACTACACATTCTCCTCTCATCACTGAGGTCCTCCATCCACATGACAGAGAGGGGAACACAAAAATGACTCAGCCTGCAACTGAAAATATGGATGGAGGACCTCAGTTTAGCTTGTTTGTCGCGCTAGCGCCGAGCTAATACATATAAGGCAATACTGTTTAGCGTTGGCGCTAAAGCTAATAGGCTAAGCTGAGGTTCTTCTTCCATGAAGCAGCTCTGTTGTCCTCCATCCATATTTTCAGTTMCAGGCTGAGTCATTTCTACCTTCTCCTCTCTGTCARCGCTCTCTGGTTTCATTTAAAAGAGTCGATCATCAGATATTGTCCAAGATTAATCTTCAGGGAGGATATAGCTCACTCACACCGATGACCTGTCCATGTAATCATTTACCCAGAATGCTTTGTGTGTAAATAAAATACATTTTTAAAAAATTACTAAACTAAACAGCCACAGTATTTKTACAGTCTTTATTTTACAGTTAAAATATATGTTTATCAAATAAAGTCTAATGTTACAACTAATCAGGGATCCCTTTAATAACAAAAGTGATGTAAAGTGTTGTAGCAACTACAGGAGAATTAAAAGCCACACGGTGAAGACCTGGGAGAAAGTTGTTAAAGCTGTATTTAGACACGAGGTGACTTTTGTGAGCAGYAGTATGGTCTTATGACAAGAAAGAGCACCACAAATGCCATCTTTACTTGGAGGATGCTGATGGAGAAGAACAGAGAGGGTCAGAAATGACTTATTGTGTCTTTAGAAAAAGCAAATGACAGGGTGCTGAGAGAGGAGCTGTGGTGTTGTATGAGGAAAACAGGACATTGTTGACCTCTGAAGAGGAAACGGCTCAAACGAGAAGTAACAGTGAAGTGATCTGGGTCCAGTATTAATACAGTCATAACACACCATTTGACCTCAGTTGTCAGTTATTACCTTGGTGCTGGATGCATTCAGCATGACGGCTGAAACATTAGTGGACTTCAGGTACATGACCTGGTCCTCCATGAGGGACACCATGGGGGTGACAACCAGAGTGAAACCTGTCAAAAGATACCAGTCAGACAAACTGGAACATTTAGCATGACATTTAGCCCTGCTAAAGGGAGCCAAAACTCCCATTCTTTTATCAGCTTTCTTCTGTTCTCAATAGTAATTTGGGACTTAGGCTTCAGTGGAAATAATTGAATCAGACATTAGATGTCTAAACTGAAGCTGTTTTAAATGATTTTACCATTTTGTAGAGGTGTTCCAGAAATTAACTCAATTTCCTTATCCACTATCTAGTGCCCTAGAAACTTTATTTGATAAAAGTAGAGTACAAAATTTGAACACTATTGGTGGAAATAGACCATAATGACCATAATTTTATCCTGAGCCGACACAGCACGTGAGACTAATGCTATTGTCAGCTGCTAGTTGTTGTGATTGTCAGACAAGTTAAATATACTTTCAGTTAATGCTTGGTATGGCGATATTGCGATATTCAAAAAACAACAACCTCTGAGCAAGTTAGAGACAATAATTTGCCAATTGTGGGCTGCTGTGGGCTGCATTGCTGACTCTTTTGTAATTTATTTCTTCGACGACCACTGCGAGTTTTTTTAAACCAAAAATATAGCTGGGCTCCTTTCAGATTAAAACTTTTGGTGATTTTCTTTCTAGATCAAGCAAGCTGCTCGATGCACAGGAGGAAATACCTACAAACTTTATCAGTACAAAAAATAGCTAAAAGTATGCAGCACCACAGATACAACCATTTTTAAAACCCTTTAAAACACGTACTTCACAATACTTTGATCTGTTCGACATAATAAGGGGCAAAAGCCATTCTGTGATTCCTCTCATGCTGCTGCTCTGGTTCCAGAATGTCAAGCTATTTGCATGTTTCTCCATTAATTATCAGTTACTCAACACACATATACTACAGTATTTTCCAAAGGCTATACCGCCATATAAAAAAATTAATACTACCCAATTCTACCTACAATTATCTTGAAGTGTTTAATATAAAATGCCCCATGAGGGCCTAAAGATCATCACCATCCAATATTGAATTTCAGCTTTGAGCTTAGAGATTTTGAGAGATTATAATAATGTGTTGATGAGATTATGAAATGGCAATGATGAAGGAATAAAGTCTTCCCAAGTTTCTGCTGAGGAACATTTTTCTGAAATGGTTTTAAGATTTTTAGATGCAGTTTTTTTTTWAAAAACAAATGAACTTCTGCTCAACTTTATTTTGTGAGAAASTGAGCTTATTGCTAAAAAAGATTTAGATGAGAGTTGTTGGCATAATATATATGTTTAGTTTAAACACTTAATATGCTTACTATGTTCCATCTTGAATAAAATATGGATTTATGAGGAATAACTGCAGTCTGTTTTTCTTTTCTTTTTTTTTACATTTTCCATAACATCCTAACTTTTTCAGACCTGGTTGTACATAAGCATTGAGTGACCGATAACTGAAACACATGAGAATCTGCAACAATAAACGACTGTGTRGATACCCTGGGAGCAGACTGCAGGAAGTTGGTAGCACAGACTTTTCCCTCTTCCTGTTGGCATCACCAGGAACAGATCCCTGCAATCCAGTGTCAGGTTGATGGCTCGGAGTTGCAGCGGTCTGAATTTGGTGAGATTAAATATGTCCTTCARGTGTTGCTCCACCTCTTTGGACCAAGGAAAATCTAAAAAACACAGATCAACAACCACACTTACACCAAAGATCCAAACATGGATCTTTAATGGAAGGATTTGTTRTGTAGCTGTTGACTACCTGTGCCATCATAGTGCTGCATTTCCAGCTGGCTCAACACAGGCTCCGCAACTGAAGACTTGGAGGACGATGAGGATGAAGAGGATGACGGCCGCGCAGTGTTACAAGCCTCTTCCAGCTCCTGCAGCAGTAAGTTTTTCCGAGAGGTGAGCTGAGCCTGCTTTTCCAGAAGTTCTGTGATCTGTTGCTCCACAGACTCCAGCTCAGCCTCCACAGAATCTAGCTCCGCCTGTGCATCTGGCAATACACAAAGCAAGATTACACACAGCTTCACGCAAGCTAGTGTTACAACTCTGTTAGAAAACTACATTTAAACTGATACCAACAAAGAGGGTCATGTTAAGGAGAACACACTAAACATGATGCTGCTTAATCTGATGTTTCAGGTCAACATTTCTAGTTTTATGAGTTGGGGGGTGGGGGGCTAACAACTGAACCTCTATTGGGATGAGCTATCCTAAACCTCAAGGACGAAGGACACTCTGCCTGAGGACCAATATGTCCATATTTTAGACAGAGTAGAAAGATGGTTTGAAAGGAGGGTAAAGGAAGACATTTATGTCAGATTAGAAAAAAACAACTTTAAAGAGAAAAGGTCTCAGATTTTAGCTGTCTAAAACATATACTGGTTTGAAAGTGGCTCATRGTATACTTTCTGGACAAGCAGGCTGAAGTCATATACAGATGTAGTAAACTAAATTAACCCAGTAAATGTTCTAAACTTGAACAACAAACTTTTCTTAAGATCAGTCTTCCTACAGCTTTCAGCCTTTTTTTTTCAATCTTTTTCAGATTTAATAATTCCTTTTCTGGCCCTTTTTTTCTGTTTCTGAGTGCGTGATAAAGAACAGATTAAAACTTAAGTGCCAACCCTCCTGGCACTTAAGTGTTGCYTTAATGGCTCATTTAAAACTCRCAAGACAGCTCAGTCCGGGACAAACAGGTGTTCTGTACCCCTCTTATCATTCAGGACACAAAAGRCTCTTTGCCCCAGTCTCGATTTTCCGTCCCACACCACACTTCTACAGAGGCGGAGAAGTCAAGCGGGCCGACTTGTGGAAAAAAAAACCCTGCAGCCTCATTCTGGGTCCAGGCTTTCCTTAAAACCTGTTAGAATGAATGGACCAGACGGGACCCAGCAGGCACATGCTTAATGGAGGATTTCTCCCCTAAAGAGGCACTCCTGATCCGAAGAACAACCCACACATTTATTGATGCTGCCTACCCTTCCGTCGACTTGTGGACCAGGTTGGTGGCAACTGGTTACTTTGTGGGGTTGTTCTCCCAGTATCTGCAGCTGCTCGCCTACCCAGGGATGTCCAAGCTTTTTGGGGAGGCCTTAAGAGACCACAGGCTTCTCCGTGCTTCTCCCACCAGCCGCCTTGCCTCCYTCTGAGCCTCAATCATCGCCTCCACTGCGAGATGAGAGGGGCCTGTCCCCAAGTCCTTTGCAGATCTCTCCTCATTGCCACTGCCCCCGTTAGAGGAAGGTGGCAGCTTCTCCAGGGCCGGTGGCTGATCATTCAGGGCCTGGAGAAGCTGCCAACTTCCTCTAATGAGGGCAGCACAACAAGGAGAGCCTTGCGAAGGACTTGAGGACAGGCCTCTCAAGGTCTATCCGACAGGGTCCCACTCACCCGAGCTGACAGGGTCCCACGCTCTACAGAGGGTCGACGCCTCCTCCGCCTGCGCTACCCAGAGGGTCTCCAACGCCTCATGCTTCTTCAGCATCCCTAGTACCTACACCTACTCCCAACCGCCTCCCCAGTCTCCTGGTCCTACGTCTGTTCCTGCTTCCCAGTCTTCGGGTCCAGCTACCCTGTCATCTACGCCTATACCTGTTCCAGCTCCAGAGTCTCCTAAGTCTACACCTGCTCCCAAGTCTCCTAGATCTACGTCCGCTCTGGGCCGTCCACCAGAGCTCTCACCCCACGCCAGATGCACCTAGGGTCATCTGTAGAGACAATTTTTTTGATTTCATTTTGTTTTTTCCCCAGGGGTTTTCCTGTTTTTTTTGTGTTCCTTTTTTTACTCTTGCTTTATGTTTTTCTTGTACTTTTTCCTGTTTCGTCTGTTCATCCTGAGTCCTGTCTGCCTTGTGGTTTTTGTCTCTTGCCCTCCGTCCTGTTTTCTGTCTGTAATCCCACTCGGCCCTCCCGTGTTTGTGTTTTCAGTCTTATCGTCAGGAGACAATCTTTAGAGAGAGGGTACTGTTAGGATCTGTGTCTTGTACTGTGTCTCCCTCTAGTGCTCTGTGTTTTCATTACAATCTTTTCCTCAGTCTGCTCTGTCTCCTGATTCACTCTCACACATGTCTGTGCTCAGTAATCACCCAGCTGTTTCCACTTTCCACTTAACCCTGCTGATAAGTGGACTCTTGTCACCTCTTCCTTGTCTGTTCATTGTTTGGTTTTTGCCTTGGCTTCCTCCCGAGGTCCCCTGCTGTTTTGTTTGTTCATCACAGCCATTTCGGCTTTTTCATTTAATAAAGTTTTTGTTATTCCTTGAGCCTGCCTGCATTCTGGGTCCAACCTTGTCTTAAAACCTGTTAGCAATGCTGTGACTCAGACAAAGCTTAAGTTGATTGTAGCTTCCGCTTCRGAAAACGGCTAAAGTGCAATTCTACTTAATTTTTCACTACTTTGAGCCTCTTTAATCTATTTTAGCTTAAAAACTAGAATACGTACTTAGACATGGTAACCCTGGATTAGATTATTCTACATTGATTGCAGAATATTTAAAACAAACTTTTTGATTTGTGAACCCTTTATTTGTATATTTAGGATAAAGTGGTGTAGTGAGGGATTGTGTGTTGGTTTAATTTTTGTTTTATTTTATAGTTGTTGGGTTTTTGTGTGCAAGAATAGTCCACACTGGGGTGAGGACTGATGGGGATTCCTTTATCTAAACAAATAAAATGTACACAAACAAACAGCAGCAAATTATGCTTCCAGAAAAAAWAGTATTTAATGCTAGTCTTTGAAAAGGATTTATGGTCTTGATTACTAGGTAACATGTCCTACATTCTAGTCTAGTTCCAACCCAATGTAGTCCTACTGAAATCATGCTATCGTCCAACTATGGATMAGCTGCAGTCCAAAAAACTTAACAGTTTTACATCTGAATGGGTTGATGTGGGTCTAAGACACGCCTACAATATTCTTGAGGATGCACAAGGACACACAAAGACAGAAACTGTTCACAGGTACACTTCAATTCAATTCAAATTCAAAAATACTTTATTAATCCCAGARGGAAATTAAGGATGCTCCAGTGAAATCTAATTCTTGAAGTTAAACAGCTTGGTGTTTGGATTTTAATTTCTTCTTTTATTGCAGCTGTCGCAGAGAAACCTGAAACTTGTTCATGTCAGTACTGTTCTAATTTACCTTACATTTAAGCTTTAATCATTTRTTTTTCTAATAAAAAAAGCATCTGAAATAAGAACAGAAATACTCACCAGCAGCATCCATGTTTCTACAAAAACAGGCCTCTCGTAAATGTTGATCTGACTCCCTGGATGAGAAAGAATTGTGTGTTAACCAAAGTTAACTTAATTTATATTAGTAACATTTTTTAAGAGTCAAATGTCTTCTCCAAGTCTACAACACATGTAGACTGGTTGGACAAACTCCTATGCCCACTTGAGGACCCTAACAAGTGTACAGAGCTGGTCTGCTGTTCCACAGCCAAGATGAAAAACTTGTTCTTTTGAGATATGAAGATTGTTTAATAATTTGTCTTTCTTGTCCAGCACCCCTGAATTGATCTTACTGGGGACCTTTCAGAAAGGAGTTTCAAACGCAACAAACCGGCAACGTCTTTAAGGTTCAATATTGAAAACATTAGATATTAGAATAATATTACAAGACATAYAAAAATAAGTTGGTATGGATATTAAGAAAACATAAAACACAATATTACAGTGACTTATTAGACAAAAGTAACAGTGACATGAAAGCAACATGGCGGGTAATCAAGAGTGTATTGACAAACAATGAAGCACGATCAGATACTTCAAAATATTTTGTGGAAATAGCATGAACCTTATCTGGGCACAATTCATAAAAATACTTACTTTGAACCTGTGCATAAACTATAAAATAGTCATCATCATCATCATCATCATCGTTTATTTATAAAGCACAATAAAAACCAAAGTGCTGTACAGGTGCATAAAATAAAAACAATGAACAAAGTACAGTAATAAAATGAACAATAAAATCAAACACAACAGCAAAGGCTGGCCTAATGATCCTGCTCTTCAGACTCAAATGCCTGTTTAAACAGATGAGTTTTTAACAGAGACTTAAACTCATTTAGAGACCCAGCAGACCTCACAGACAGTGGGAGATTGTTCCAGAGCCGAGGTCCTGCAACTGAAAAGGCTCTATCTCCCCTGGTCACAAGCCGAGACCTGGGAACAACTAAAAGCTTTTGATTTACAGATCTCAGGGATCTATTTGGAACGTGAGGCTGAAAAAGCTCAGTGAGATAATGAAGTGCCAAACCATTTAGACATTTAAAAACTAAAAACAAAATCTTAAAAACAATTCTAAAAGAAACAGGCAACCAGTGAAGAGAATACAGAATTGGAGTGATGTGTTCGCGACGTCTTGTCCCTGTTAATAAACGGGCAGCTGAGTTCTGAACCAGCTGTAGACGACGAACCAAAGACTGATCCATCCCACAATAAAGAGAGTTGCAATAGTCCAGTCTAGAAGTGATAAAAGCATGAATTACCCTCTCAAGTGCATTATGAGGCAGGTAATCCTTGACTTTACTTATAAGTCTCAGATGATAAAAGCTAGAGTGGACTACTGCACTGACCTGTTCTTTAAATTTAAAATCAGAATCCAAAATCACCCCAAGATTTCTAACAGACACACGGCC